AGCCTGGAGAAAAGGAGGCTGAGGGGAGACCTCATCGCTCTCTACAACTCCCTGAAAGGAGGTTGTAGTGACGTGGGGGTCGGTCTCTTCTCCCAATAAAGAAGCGATAAGACGAGAGGCAATGGCCTCAAGTTGCACCAGGGGAGGTTTAGATTGGATATTAGGAAAAATTTCTTCACCTAAAGGGTTGTCAAGCACTGGAACAGGCTGCACAGGGAGTCACCATCCCTGGAGGTATTTAAAGGACATGTAGACATGGCACTTGGGGACATGGTTTAGTGGTAGACTTGGCAGTGCTAGGTTAACGGCTGAACTCCATGATCTTAGAGGTCTTTTCCAACCTAAACAATTCTGTGATTCTAAACACCAGTGCATTTCTAACTTGTACCTGTTGTGCATTTTGAGCTACTGTCAGAAGAACTCATGCCATTTATCAGAAGTGAAGTTTTAAAGAGACATGAAGAATTTGGCACTAATCTAGCTTAAATGCTGTGCTACCTAAATAGTACCACAGTATGTACTGCATCTATAGTTTCCAAGGAAACACATAGCAGCAAGTAGAGACTGAGGAACCAGTCTAAGATTCAGAAGACAAACGCAGTAAAGAAGTGACCCTGAGGGTCCGAATTTTCTAGCAAGATCCCCCTATTTGTACGTAGTCAGTATTTACTCTGGAGTCTAACAGCAACAGCTCATCTGGGTATGCAGGATATAGAAAGGGTTATAAATCCCACCAGGTTTCACTTTACTCACAGCACCGTGTTGTAACTGCACTCTGCTACATAAATGCATTCACCTCTTGAGCCAACTCATAACTGTAAATATTCTCATGGGCTCAAAGTGACCCCACTCATTTTACTTCTGTTTACCTTGCAATTGTCTGTTGAATCTCCTGTTCTTCTTCTTCATTTATTCTGTGCAGAATTGACTCCAAAAAGGGAAGATGAAATTGAAGATACTGAGCAACCTATCAAGATGACAAGAAATGCCCATTACCAAGTACACTAACTGGGAAAAATACTGTGAACTATAGGAATTGATGATATACGTACATCACTGCTTATCTCTTCCACATCCCTGTCCATGAGAAAGAACTTAGCAATCTTCTCTGACGGACCCTGCAAGAGTCTGTGCAGTAAGGGAACGTCTCCACTCCTCAGCTGCTTTTTTTCTGGGATTTAAAGGCAAAAACATGATGCACAGAACATACAACAGTGCTTCTAGATACCTCATGCAATCAGTAGTCTTTTCTTGACAAAGATCCTATATTTGACTGATGTGCAATTATTAGATACCTAACAAGTCTAAGACATATTAGCAGGAGGATGTGGCACCTAACTTATACTATGCATTTTGAAAGAAACTGGTAGATGCAACACAAAGGAGTTGCAGTTTAAGTAGCGAACTAAGCATTTAAGAGACCAATCCCAGGCCCATCAGCTTGACCATGACTCCCTAAAACAAAGCCTACTTCATAACTTTCGAACTATCAACTTCGCATTTGACATTCAAGGTATATGCCCATCAGTTCTCTCTCCCATTCTTTCAGGTAACCCTTTTAACAGAGATAAAAGTTTCTTTTTCCTGAAGGAATAGAGTAGACTCTGTTGCAGAAGTAAACATTTTCCGCTAAAAAATGAAAACTTGAACTAGGCATCTGTGATCCAGGACTACCATCCAAAACTCTCAATTAAAATATCCCGTAACACTACCAGCGGGAGCCTGGCATGCCACAGTTGCAGTGTGGCTGTGCAGAACAGAAGTTAGAGCAGAAGAGCATCTTAAACACGGCCTTTAAATACAGGAAAAATGAAGGCCTGTTTAGCTGATCCAACCATACTGGCAGCACACTGAAAGCACCCAGAACACAGTTACTCAGGTTTTCCTCTGCATCAAAGGACCACACATCTCTACGGGGTCTCCAGGAAAGCCAAAAAAGCTACACTGCGCCCACACTGTCCAAACAAGGACAGATGCCTGTAATGAATACTGTCACTTCAAGTTAAGCGGTCCACACTTACCTCCGGACGCATGGATAATGTAAAGTGCAAATTCATGTGGGCTGTTTTCTATCTGTTAAACACAAAACAAAAAAGTCTATTCAGACTGACTGATACTCTCCTAGCATTTCACTGCCAGCAGATACTCTGTGCTTCTCAACTCAGATATTTAAACTGAAGTCTGAGACTGGGATCCTGTCTGTAACAATGTTAAAAGATACTGGATTTGGATAAGATGGAAAGCTATGCTGCCATGTTCATTGTCCCTGTACCCCACTACCTCATGATTGCTTGTATTACCATATTGCCCAAATCAGTAACATACCTGCTTAGACACCACCACATCTTTACAGTCATGTTTCCTTGGAGCATCCGTAACTACTTCACACAACTTGCTTTTCAAGTGACTTGCATATTTGCCAAGAGTATTACCATTAGGGTAACACCCTGAGATCTCTTCCTATCCACTTGCCTGCACAACCACATTCAGAAAATACCAGTCCTTTTGAAAACCTATTTTTCAACTTCATCTATACAACTTAGCAACCTGCTCTGTAATTCCATCCCTTATGTTATTATTCTTAGAAGACAACTTCTCCTTTTAGTATTACACTACCAAGGCTTACTGACTGTATGAAGTAATTCTGCAATAGCAAAGTCTCTAGACAACTTAAACAGAGAATTATCAGAAGTTATACAGTAAGAAGCTACGTAGAAAAGATATTGGAGACACATACAGCACCAATGTTAATACCCCATCAGAAATATATTTATCATATCAATGGAAGAGGGTACCAAAGAAACACCAAGAAAAAAGTCATTTCAGACAGTATGGCACTGATCTTGAGCACTAGTTTTAACTCTGACTTTCTGGAGCTTTCTACATGCCTGGATCTAACAGAACACAAATCCCAGCCACTCGGGCTAAAAGAGAATTCCCTTTTGTTTTAAGTAAAATTACTAGGGCCCGTCACTAGAGGGAAGCACGGCCACGTGCATTAAACAAACATCCTTTCTCCGTGCTGGGAAATGCTGAAAGTGCAGCAGCTTTTTCCTCTCCTATGCGTGACTATCAAGAAGCTGTTCTCGAGTTTTTCCTTCACTGCACACTATATACCAAATATACCTTTTCTAGACTCAAATAGCCATGAACCATTTGTAAAATAAAGTTAACCCATTCCTTAAAAATGGCGCATGTGTTTTTTTCTATGCAATATCCCCTCCCAGTTATTTCCTGCCTTGCATGCAGCACTGGTGTGACACACTTGAGTTAACATTTCTAGAACACGGCTGCACTTGCTTCTGCAAACACACAGTTACCTTAAACTTCCGAAGCAATTGTTCTATTACTTGTCTTGTTCTCATCTGGCTGTTTATTCTTATTTTGGTTTCTGATCCAAAAGCTGGAGTAAAAACTGATGTCTGGAATAAAAACAGCAGCAAAAGGGCATGAGTATGAGGACTGCTGTACTTAATGGCTGGGACTCAAAACGATATAAAGCAGCACAGCCCTGGTACAAAGCAAGCTGCCAGGTGTGCTGCCACTGTTGCCATAAAGCAAAGGGCAGACGGTGTCCTCAGGAGAGCACCCCTAGTACATAGGACCACTGTGGACCCCCACCATGCAATGGCCACGCACACTTGAACCCACATTCTGGAGCAGACCCTGAAAACATACCCCAGGGGTTGAGCCCAAGGCCCAGTGACACCGGCCTGGCCATACAGTGGGGGAGTGCCCCTCTTGGCTAAGGGGGTGCAGGGGAGGTCCAGAAGCTTACTGAATATTTTTATCTGTCCCACTACCCAAGCTCAGGTGATGAAAGACAAGCATAAACATTCGTACCTCATAGTTGTAGAAGTGGCCATTAATTGAAAACCTGTGAGTTTCTACTTCTGTCCTTGCTACCATGGGGAACTCGGTCCTCTTCCGCACAGCTGCGGCATTGCTGATGGCCCTGGGCAGGGTAGCACAATCATGTTCCTGCTTGCTCTTGGACTTCAGAGTGTGGCTTTCGTAACATGAATAACCTGGACAAAATGAAACCGCTCAGCATATTGTACAGCTGCTCTACCCTCCTTGCCAGCACCCCTACATGAAGAAGGTTCTTGGTAGAGGGATTTTTTTTTAATTATTTTTTGGGTGGTGGGGGGAGTGGGAGAGGAGCAAGGCATAGGCGTATGATGCAGAGCAATAGGCTGTCTGCAGCGGCCACAGTTTGCTATTTTGTTCACTTCTTTGGAATGATTTCTTCAGTGAAAGCACCACCCACTAGCCCTAGCTGTTTGAAAAGTTATCTGCACAGCAATGTTTTTACTAACCAGTCACACATCAGTGTTTAACATCTATTACAGGCTAGTGAGACAGAGAAAGACTTCCCTTTACTGGTAGGGAAAGCCTAATATGTCAAATTATTTTTGTACAGTCACAAGAAGGAAGTATTTTTAGTGAATGTAAGAGCACCGACACTAACTTTCCTCAAGGTTTGCCTTTTCTTCAGTAGATTTCAATGTCTCCCCGCTAATATGATGTAGATCATCAAATTCTCCCCAGCGTGTCATTCCCCTGAAATACCAAACATACATTGATAGTTGGTAACTCCTCATTAACTCAGTGATTTCAATTTATCCTGTAGCCAGGCTTCACGCAATGCATTCCTAGCCCTGTTCAAAATTTTATAGATCACGACTACAGACTTCGATGTGGTATAGGAAGCCAGTAATTTTAGTTGGTCATAATAAAATTAGTTAGGAAAATATGGCTTAACTAGGGATCCGAAAATGATGTCTGGAATAAAAACAGCAGCAAAAGGACATAAGACAATCCTATTTAGAACCTGTTGAACATCCATCATAATGTCCCTTAAATAATTTGCAGTAATTCTTTATCTATTTTATAGCCATGCCCTGGATTAATGAAAGTTAGGATACCAGGCAGGCATACAGAAACACACACATATGGTGGTTTAAATAGTCAGAAGACGCATCGTGGCTGTTACACAAACAGGGACATAAAAGTTGAACTTACCATACCAGCCCCTCACGCTATCCAAATCAGTTCTGTAGAGAAGCAGGGAACTCAATCCAGCCTGTTTTAGAACCCAACTTTCTTTATGCCAATACTGCCATAATTCATTGCATAAACTCTAACAGCAAGTCTTTGGCCAGTTACTGCTCTGACTGAGAATAAACCAATTTGTAGGAAAACATTAAAAATTCATTTCCTATATATATTCAAAAGAGTATTCAACTAACTGCAATGAACATGCCAAACGACCATCTCAGTTGCGTTTCATGCATTTAAAGAGTTCATTTAAGATCAAACAGTCAAGCTGCTCTGCATACCTTAAAGCATGTCAGGGCAGCCTCACATTTCTGTGATCATGAATTAATATTTACTTTAAGATTCAGATCTTCACCACTCATAAGTTTTTTTAAGAAATAAAAGGCAAAGCATGACTTCAACTGCCAGACTGGACCCTATCCTACAGGCCACATCCACCCCGTACCAGCGGACCTTGCCAAGGTAAACAAAGAGAACCAGATTTGCCTGAGACTCGAGTTCTTCGTTGGTTACTCCTGTCAGGCTACATCCCTTAATTTCAACAGCAAGAGATAGGGAGGAAGACTGTCCCTGACTTCACTGGAAGTCCACAGCTGCAGTGATGGTAGAATTAAATCAACAATTCAAACATGTACCATATGCAATTTAAGACAATGGATAATTAAGAATACGAGCTCTGAAATACAGAATTTATCAGGGAGTCAGTCAGGGTAAACATTGGCTCAGCCTCCATATTACGCAGTACTCAGCTTCAGCTTATCAGATACAATTCAGAATTCACCAACCGAGGCTTGGGAAATAGTGTTCAAAACAGAAACAAGAAATACTCACAGAACCTACATCAGTTTTTAAAGATATGGCAAACCTAGCAGGAGTCAGATCAGCACAATGCACTCAGATATGAAATATCATAGGCAGCAGCCTGAAGGAGCAGCTGATTGTGTGTATTTCTAAGGGGTTTCAACATTAGATTTTGCACAGACAAAGCCAGTGTTGATTCCCTGGGTTGAGCTTTGCCCTGAGAAGCAGTGGTGTCACACCTGAAGTACCTGGGAAGGTAACCTGCGATAGACAATCACTTAGCATGAACCTACCAGCTTTTTGCTTCATGCTGTAGAAGATGCACCAACATGAGGTCTTTCAGGGGCTACCAGTGTTATTAGGTGTACGTACATACATACATGTCGGGGGGTTGTCATTTTTTATACATGTAAATTCCCACTACTTGCATGGGAATAGTCAGTATCGACAAGAGCAGCCTCCTCCACCTTATCAACTGTTCTTAAGCTCAAAGACAGACAAAGATGCAACAAGGATGCTACAAAGATGGATCTTTCTGCCCAGCAGAAGCTGTTGAAGGACCACACCAGTTACAGAATACTGCTGTGCAAGCAACCACCACAGCCTTTGGGGAATCTGGGAAATACAACCAGCCATATCCATTGTTGTCACCTACAAGAACTGTCTTGAAATACTAGCCTGCCTCCTTCTTATGGAAGTTAATACGTTACCTTCTATTAGGGAACAAATCCACGTTCTCTGTTGACTTCAGGGTTACAAAAGAGGGTATCTGCTTCTCATCCTGAATTTTTAATCTGATAGGATGTTGGACTCCCCAAAATATTGACAAGATTCCTTCAATAAATGGTTTGATTCCTTCTTGCTGGAAAAAAAAGGAATGAGTGCTGCATAATAATGAGTAATAATAATCAAGCAGTAATAATCGATTTCTCCTCAAAGTAACAGGAATACGATGAAATTGCTAAGGCCAACACAGCCCTGGAACAGGTCACCCAGAGAGGCTGTGTAACATCCATACTTAAATATTTCCAAAACAGCTAGCTAAAGCTGCAGCTGACCTGATCTCGTGTCAACATCAGTCTGACTTTGACCAGGAGGTTTTCCAACCAACACGTCCATAATTCCACACAATTTTAAGTCAAATCCTATTTATTCTACTTGGATGACTAGTGCTTCTGAAACCAGGGTGCTAAGAAGGTGGTGAAGTGGAAGAACAACTGCTGGTAAAGGAGGAAGAAGCAGTTAATGAAATAGTCCTTGTTGATGCAGGGCACTGCATCAGTCCAAACCACTGTATTGGTCCCCATTCTTGCTGACAATACAACACTGTCACTGCAGAACGAGCTGAGATAGAGAAGTGAGGATTCCCCTTTTTCAGACCATTTTTGCCCAGAATTGCTCTAATGTCCTTTTGGGTCTAGATATCAGCAAAACAAACGCAGCTTGTGAAGGAGAAGGAAATTCAGACCTCTAAGCCAGGGACTCTGTGGGATGAGAGACAGGATTCGTGATTTCATCCGTCCTTCAGCTCCACAAGGCCTTCTGGTCTCCACAAGCGATGCACTCCTGGGGCCACGCTTACAAGCATTTCCTCTGTACTAAAGGTTCACATTCGAGGAGGGAGCGGTAGTCTCTCCTTGACCCGAGTGACAGCAGTCCTGCCATTACACGCTGTGGGCTCAAGCTGAAGAGGCAGGGGGGAACTGCATCCTACAGAAGTATTTGCAGTACTACTCCCTCCCAGGTAACAATACGAGACTTGAGAGATCAACCTAAAGAAGGAATTCCTGTGATACGCTAAGGAATGGGATGGCAAGGAGATCACACTGTTAAACATCAAAACTCTCACTAGTCTGAACATATCTATTTCTGCTCTCTTCTCCTCACAGCATTTGACTCTAGCACTTGCTGTGGCCTTTTTATTAGTGACATATTCCATCTAATATACTAACACAAAACAGGTATCCTACACTATTCAGTCTAGCCACATTAAACATCAGTGCCTATTATTGCTTTTCCTACTATTACACTGTGCTTTTTGTATTATTTTTACATAGATCCTTACCTGATTATGTGACAGTTGCAGATTTTCTTGATCAGAATAGTAGGAGTTATAAGTCTTCAGAAGAGAACTGAGCTGCTCTCTAGAACAAAAGACCACAATGAAAAGAATAATTTTTAAACATCTCTATCACTGTAAAATCCAGGTGCTAAGATGCAGGGTAACTGCCTGTATCGGTGTTACCACTGCATCTTTGTACAGGTTTGTTAATGATTAATACATTATTTTCCAGGAGTAAAATTCTGTCAGGATACTGGGTTGCTTTTAAGTTGCTTCTTTGAAGACCTGATACACAGAGGAAATGAGTCACAGTCTGATGTGACATTAATAACACTGCCCTAGAGTAACTTGTACTTTGGACTTCTGTTATAGTCACGAGGGGGAAGCAAACAGGAACAACACTCCCATACACCAATGCCACAGGTTATTTTAGTTAGGTTACAATTTGTTTTCCCCACATGATGGTTTTTATACCCCACATTGGGTTTTTATATTTTTACAGATAATCTTCTTACTTCAAAATATCTACAGTATGCTTAGATGAAACATTTCACTTTCCTTCTGCTTGAAACGTAACAGCTTTGTACTAAGTCTTTGCTCGGAGGAGAAAGGAAGGAGATAAAGAGAACCTCTGCCAACAAGCAAGAATTACAAGCCTGCCCATGATCTCAGATTTCAAACAGAAATTCATGATGCAATTAAAAAAAAACAGCATAACATTCTGCTTTGAAATGAGGCAAATGAGATTTGAAGTCTCTGCATTGAGACAGGAAGGTAATGTGAGGCACACTGGTGCTAATCATGTTTAAACTTAGTATTTAAGAACCACCACCAGAGATAGCTATGCCTGTCTCCGCCCTTGATAAATTCACAGCACTGCAGGAGAAGAAGGTTTCAGAATATGTTAGAAGTTTGATGGCATTTCAAACTAACCAAATTACAGCTACCGCACATCCCAGTTTCTAGACCACAGCCACCTCCTTCTCCCTTTGGGAACTTTGTCTGGAAAGAACAAACTTTAGCTACTGTATTTTAACTACGTGATTTCCAAACCTCCTGGGCAATTTCAGAGACTGGGCTACTCAACATCCTGAAATCCTGAGCAGGCTGTGGGTGCACAGGCAGCACTCCTGTAGCAGCCCAGGTGGTTTGAAGTCATAGTGCAGGGCCACACCAGCTCTCCACCAACAGCCAGTGCAAACACCGCTCCCGCCTGAGCTAACAGCAGCAGTGCTGCTGACAGCCCACGTCACTGATGTGCCCATATAGCCTTTGTAAGTGGTAAGAAGCAATAAATGGCACGTTGCACAAACACAGGCTGAGGGCTGACTGCTTCGGCACCGGCACTGTGGAAAAGCACCTTCTGGTTACTGCCAAGCAGCTGCTGATCCCAAGTCAGCCGTGCCATGCTCTCGTTTAATAAGTAACCGCCATACAAGGAGATACCCACAGGCATATCCTCTTCAGAGCAAGGCTGCTTAAATTACAGATCAAGGCCAAATTTCGTCAGAGCACTCTGCCTTCTTAGCACTACTTTTGAAGAAGGATACACACCAAGTTGACAGAGTCCAAAGAAGAGCTGGGAGTGTGATAAGCAGCACAAACCATGAAGACAAAAAGCAAGTTGCAGCACAGGCTAAGGAGGACCAAAAAAAGACAGAATTAAGTCATATGTATTTCAGGACCATCAAGAATGAAATGCTCTCCCCCACACCAATTAGACAGCAAAGATTTGGATTGTAATTCAAGAAAGCAATTTCCACCAGCAGAGATAGTTAAGCATGGGAAACAATTGCATATGAATTCTTCCTCACAGACAATCTTTAAGCACTGAAACAACTATCCATCAAGATGGTTTTATGTGCTGTCTTGCAGCGGTGAGTGAAGACACCAAGTTTGTTTCCAAATAGTGTCTATTATTTCCATGTTTTTGTCTAGTATGAGATATTTTAACAGCTGAACCGCAGGCAAGGCAGCATTTGCAAACTCTTCTCACAGTAAGTTCCACAGAGACCTACCGAAACTATTCAAGACCCATGTACGATTAGAAGTACTATTAGAAATCCTACACCAATTTTAAGTAAAAAAACCAAAAAACCTCTACCCAAAAACCAAAACCAAGAATTGACTTCTAGCACAGTCACTGAAAAACAAATCACACATGGCAATGACACTCAGTAGAAATTACATTTTAATATTTCAACAGTCAGAGTTCACCAAGAAGATAAAAGAAGTTATGTCAGAGGTGCAGGAATACATGGACCAAGGCTATATGCAAAGTATTACACACCACCTTCTGAGAGATACATTCAGAGAGGAACTTTACAGTACAGCCTTGGGGCATCAGAAACACTGGCATGAAGAGTTTCAGCAGAATTTAACAGTTGTTTTCCTGTAACAGTCACAACACACCCATGTCCCAGAACACGAGGATGTTATCAATGGTGACAGTGGCACCCTTATCAGAGATGACTAACCTAAGCGTGATCTCTCCCTTAGGAACAGGATCAGCTTGTCCATCACTGCAACGCAGTTCAGAAGGGTATTTTCAGGGGTGAAATAAATACTATTTTATAGCATCTCTCTCTGATCAGATCAGGACTCAATCTACTCAAACTGACTGTTTAAATAGCTGCACAGTTCACTCTGTCAACTTAAAAAATGAAAAAGTCAGTGTTGCTCAGGGGATCTCGCCTAAGATATTAAGAAACTCCAAGAAATCAGTGCAAGAGAATAGGAAAAGGATGGATTATGCAAAGGAACACCAAACGTTTTGGTTGGAAATGGCTATGCATGATTTTAAGCGTACCAATTAAATAACAAAAGTATCTTCCCCTGGGACTGTCGTAGTCTTACTCCAGCAGCGTACACCTTTTTCTGTGGCTTACGACACACGCGCTCTTCTTCCACCTTCAGCCTCCCCTGTCCACAGTCTCTCCGAGAGCTCAAAGCAGGTGCCTCACACAGGATTGTGTTTCTCAGTCACCTCTTACCTTTTATACCTATCCAAAGCTTCTGGACAGCATGATATCTCTGAATAACGCTAAGCAGAACTATATCACTATGCTAGTCTCTATACGGGATACAGACCTGTAGCACCTGCTTCTTCCTTCAGGTCAAGGAAGGCAGACATCTGACACTGCATCAAAGCAGAGTGCCCAAGTGGGACTGATGGACGTGGCTCCCTGAGAGCCTGACATTGAGCCGGGCCAGCGGGAACGTGGCCTTCCCCCAGGCTTCGCTGCTGACACACTGGAGAGGAAAGCTGGGGGAGCAGGGAGGCCAGTTAACATGTGTATGCTGTGTTTGGGGCAGAGGGGCACACACACCGTGCAACTGAAGCGCTTTCCCCGGCATACCGTATCCCTCCCTTGCTCCACATAATATACTGAACTTAGCAGTGCCCTGTTGCTTGGTGAGCCTTTTCCCGTAGTGAGAAAGATGATAAACAGGACTTCTAGTCAACAGGTAACATTAGGACAAGGACTGCACCGCTAAACTCAACAAGGTTAACTGCATTCCCTTCTAACACTCTGGGTCTAAATTATTTGCTTCAACTTACTGCAACTCTGCAAAAAATATTTAAGTGGCTTTATCAACAAAGTGCTGGGCTCTGAAACAGCATTTTCAACATTTAGGTCAACTCACTTTGATTTTAAATCCTAGTAATACAGGTGGTGAAAGCCTTTCTTTCCATTGTGTTGGAATAGCTCATTACAGGTTCTTCATGTCTTGTGAGTTATGAGGGATTGTATTCAGGTGACCCCACCAAAAGGCAAAGTTTTAATAGAGTTAGATATGAATCAGATACAAGTGAAATTTTCAGCACGCTGGCTAAAGGTAATCAAGATTAAACACATCCTGCCCTCATACACAGACAAAATACAGATGCAATGCAAGATTAACATGCAAGTAGGAGATCTGTAGTTTTGTTGGACAGATGTTGCAATAGACCTGCTGATCCTGCTCGCGAGGTGTTTAAAACAAGTCTTTTTATACTTTGCAGCCTAATACCTTTGGCAATCATTTTATGGACAGCTGTTATTTTGCAAGCTTTTTGCAGGTACAAAGTTGGGGAGATCTGTTCCCTGAAGACAGAGTAGGAATACCTAAGGACTCAGGTCACACTCTGAGGCCCATCTATTACTCTTAGTCCACGCTGGCTGCAAAGGCCAATAAAATCATAGGCTAAAAGCACTAAGTGATGCAGTAAGCGTTCTCTGACGCAGATTCCGTTTCTCAGAGCAAGCTCTGAAGATTTGCACTCAGTTTCTTGCCTTGTCTAGAAAAACTTCCCATTAACTTCCACAGAAGTTTGCACAAATAAATCCTTCAGGTTTCAGTCTTGCATTAGTGCAACCAACCCTGACGAATCACCCAAGCCATTAGAAAAGCCCTGAGGGACAGATTTTACAGCAGCTCTCACTGACTTTTTTGTCCTTGTGTAGTAGAGAGACATTAGAAAAGAAAAATCTTTGTTCTTTTAGCCCCAGAAAGAAGTAACACATGCACCAGCCTACTAGTTCCGAAATGAGTCTTAGTTACACACCTTCACTATGAAGGTCCAAAGACTGCCCTAACCAAGAGGCAGATGCTCATCCCTTCAGAGTTACCCTGCCAGAAAATCAGCAGCTCTGTCCTGTTGCAAGACTGGTCCTCACAGGACAGCTTTGTGACAACAGCTAAATGCAGCCATTAACGGAAGCCAAAGCTAAACAACTGGTAGAACAACTTAGAAACAAACCCCCAAAAGGTAACATTCACTGCAGATTCACAACTTCCTTCAGTAATGAAGGCAGGATACAAGGGAGCTGTAAGGTCAAGTGCCCCGGTGGTAAACCACAACAGAGCCCAGATCACATTCACTCGAAACACTAGCCCAGGACGATTCACCTATGTCCTCTTCTCCCCTGAGCTCTACATGTTTATCCACGGATATTTAGAGCAGTTATGCGTAACACCACAATAGTTCAGCCAGCCAAATAATCCCATATGCTTTGGTCAGCCTTTTGATCCAGCCATCATGCAATTCCCCAACAGCAGGCTTGCCATGTCAGCAACATCTGCATGATACAACTGAAAGGTGTAATGTAACAGCAGATTCAAGGTACAGATGAGGGACGATAGTCTGGAAATTGCCTTGGAAGCAAGCTTCACTGCATATGGAATATGTTAGTGATTCTTGAAACACTTTTTTTAGCAAGGCAAAGAAACTTAAGCAGTACTTTAATCCATGTCTGTAATGCAGAAGGGTCTCGACCAGAATCCACATTTCACCACTGTAATAGACAAATATGTAGGGGAACGAAAACAGACATAGCTTCATCTGGTACATTTCCAAATACTTTTGTATGCCAAGTATATGAAAGTTCACACAGATTAATTACCTGCGACATAAAAGCACTATGTCCCAAATCAGTAGCAGTATAAAAAGAATAACTCTTTAGAAGGGGAGGGATGCATTTATTGCCTATGCACTTTGCGGAAAGCTCTGACACCCTTCCTTAAAAAGGGAGAAGTCAACAGCACTACTCATGCCATGTCTAAAAGTATTGGGATTCAGATGCAAACACTTACCGCAGCATGAGAAAAATCTACCACAGGCCCCATCCCTGAGTGCACTTACAGTTAGCTTCTTCCCACAGAAACATCAAGAGGGATGGAAATGAAGTGAGAAAAGAGCCCCCTCTTCCAGCTCCTGTGCTCTGGTCAACAAGTGAAAAATTAATCCCCTAAAACGGGGATGGAGCTATACGCCAGGAGGCTCAGGGTTTATAGCAACATTAGGAAAATTTCGTACCAGCAGATTTAACTGTGGAAAAGCATCCCACAAAATAGTTTGAGTGCAATTCCAAGCTTTTTACAAGTAGTTTAAAGAACCACTTTCACTCACCACAGAATAGGGCTGGCAGCCTGGTATATCTTTCTGCAAAGAAACCCTGCCATCTGGGACTACAGACCAAACCCCATGCCTCAAACAAGTAGAGCTCAAGTTAAACACCAGAACTCATGTTCCCAGAGCTCATTCCAAGAGATTTCAAAGATAGGAAGGTTACCTTCTCAAATTTGGCATTTCATTTCAGTATCCTCTAAAATTGCTGTTCTACCTAATGAAGAAGATCCACAGAACAAAAGTTTTAATGCTCTGTTCTTTAAAATCCATATAAAGGGCAACTTGGTTCTGTAGACTCTTCACAGAAAGCAAGTTGTAGGAATTGCTGCTGATACAGGCTCAGCTCTCTATAGGAACCCCTGTTAATGAATAAATATTGAGTAACTTGAAAGAAAGCAGCAGTCAATTATTTTTTTTTTTTTTTTAAGAATTTACCTGGTTATGAACTTCTCCTCATTGATGGAAACAGAAGGTAGATGCTGTGCTTTCATACTCACTTTCTTCATTTATTCAGAAGAGATGAATCTAAACAAAAGGTTGAAAAATAATTATATCCACTAATGCCACTAAGGAAGACTAAATGGTGAATGCTACAAAGCCTTAGCTTACCAAGTGAAACAGGTTCCGACACTCACAGTAAAGGCTAACTATACCATAGCTTGACTACTTTGTACTCAGCCATAATACCCAAATATTTCCCACTCCCAGTGAAAAAGCCATAAGCCATTCCCACCAAGTATATTACAGTACCTTAAATCCCAAGTACTACATGTACCGGGACCTTCTCAAGTAGTTTTAGGACTACTCCACAACTCCATGATTATGCTTCACTTGTTAGTAGACTGAGACTGCAACCCATTTACTGGTTAGGATTCATTTTTTACTTATGGATAGAGCATTGCCCAAGGTCACCAAAAAAAGTGAGTCAGCAAGCCACCCTTAACCAGGTTCATAAAACTAGACAAGAGAAGGAGAAGTGTTGATCATTGGCAGAGTCCTACAGCACAGAAAGAAAGCAGCTGAGATGTTCAAGAGAGAACAAGGCTATAATTAAAGTGATGTAGCAATATAATTTACAGATCACCATATAGTGATTCCAGCACATAGTGTAGGCAACGAGCCAGACCCATGAGACTCCAACAATGTATTCTTCAATAACCTTAATTATGGATTCTTGGCTCCTTTCATTCCCCCTCAGGTACAAGAAGAACAGGAAGACTGAGGAAAGTAACTGAAGAGGCTCAGATTAGAGATTGACAACTGATACTGCACTGAAAAAAACTGTAGTCTCAGCCCAAGAAGTGGCATCACACAGATATGTGGAAAAAATTCATCCCACTGAAAGCAGTAAAAACTTCAAGGACTGCATTAGCAGTTTATTATTCCACTTTTATTTCTCTTACTTAGGCATGACGACAGAGGAATTTGCCTAACAGCACTTAATGTCTGTTCTCCCTTATGCCAAGAGATTGAGTCAAGTCTGATTTCAGACGGCATGGGACAGAGCCTGGTCAAAGACATCTGAAAAGTAGTTTGTTGCCTACAGTACTAATGACAGGTAGCCTTCAGAAAGTGAGTTTATAAGAGAAATTCAAGCTTGGAAAAAAATCATGGCTAGCTAAAGATTTAGTGCCTAGCTTCTGCGCAAATGATCCTACACTACTGAGCTTCTTTTGCAGAAGTTGCTTAAGTCATAGATGAACTACTTCTAAAAAATATGCGGACAAACAAGAAGTTTTGCATAAAAACCACATAATCTTCAACATTCAAAACATATAGGAAGTTATTTCACAACCTCTAAAGCCAGAGTGCACTACCAACATGAGCTTTACACGAGCAGCTGGGGTTTCTAACAGTGCTTCATCAGTAGCTCACCGAAATGAGTGGGAAGGATCCCACATACCCACTGTCCTTTGGGTGACATCCATCAAGGCAAAAACATACCTGAAAGCCAAATAAGCCCAGGGACTTCTGTACAGACATCACTTTGTATATAAGGAAAAGATTCCTGTACACCAGTATAATAGTGTTTTTTCTTTGCCTCTGAAATGAGTTCAGTAACCATTAGCCACACCTTGAAAAGTGCTTTTATGTGATTTACTAATACCTCTAACTGAATCAACTGCCTCTGCCAATGTAATTTCAAAACAATTTTAAAAGATGCAGAGGAGTTTGTGTGCATTGGCATCTGAATATCTGGATATACACTTAAGCTTCCTCCCATCTGTCAGGAGACAACATGTTAAGAGCAGCAGATAGCCAGGTCACCACTATTAAACACAGAGCAGTGACTCTAGCAAGCTCTAGCACCGCTTCGCTGCTCATGTTGCATTCTTTTCAATAGAATTTGACATTAAAATAATCCATATGAAAGACAAAGCTGATCTCTACAGATTGAGAGAAGTGATCTTTACACAACAACAACGATTATTGCTGAAGTACCTGTTTCGTTGCACAGCAAATGGCTCTTACTGAATTATTAGCCTTAAAAACCTTGAGAATATCTTAAATCAGCTGGATACCATTAAAATGCTGACAAGGAAACCAACTGGAAGAGTAGTCCGTGATGGGAACAACTCAATTCTTCACCAACGCCTCCCCCTTTTCTCTCCCTCACTGCCCCATTAGCCTGGGCAGAGACCGGCCTTTTCTCCTATAGCTGGCACAGAATCACAAAAAACGCTCATTACGTTTTCCTCAGTTATGGGACCTGTTCTGCTTATCAGGCTTGTACAAAACAAGTCCACACCTCCAGCTCACGCTAGAGATAACCCACTTCTCCCTGTACCCTTCCTATAGGTGCACTTTGGCTATACACATCTTGCGGCCCTTATTTTTGGTTAACCCTGAAACCTGTGGGTTGAGAATGTGCAGCGACTTCCCCAGCACAACTATTTGACACCACACACAGTATATTTACACTGGCGCTCCATAAATCGACAAAGCATCACATTTTCTATCACCTCCCAATATTTTTTAGTTTTCCATGTCATTTCCCTGTAGTTCTTTTGAAGAAGCAAACAGGAGAAGTGCAGTGTGTTTCTTCCGTTATTCCCTTTGATTTGAGCTAACAAAAATATTCTAATTTTCCAGCTCTTCCAACGGTAGATAATTGTGGCCATCTATTCAAAGCTATCTCCTGACTTGCTTAGCATCAGACAGGTGTCTTCAGCATTATGTTTAACTGGACTAGAACCACAGAATTCTCTCAGTTACCTAAGACCTTGAAAGCGGGACCTTGGCTGGACTAACCTCCCGGCCTGAGACTTAACCAAGAAGAAACGTTATGCTTGGAGGAAGACTGACTGAAGCCTAAAATACTTTTGGAACAAAAGAAAAAGAAACAAAAGGGAATGACAGGAGTAAATCAGAAGCAGGGCAGATGCAAAATGACCAACTCAAGAGGAAGACTGCAACTATTGAAGAAGTCTAGGAAAAGGAAAGGGAAGCAAGACCGCTACACGATCCCAAAGCCGTGAGAGAATCAATAGCCACATCAGGGCACAAGACAAATCTCAGAGGTAGTGAACTTCACTTTTCTTGAAGATTTATATCTTACCTGAAACGTTTTTTTCCAAGAAAAAGTCAAAGTGTTAGTGGAGAGGCAGATGAGAGGACTTGTTTAATTTTATTAAGTAGAGCGATTTTTTTTTTTTTTTTAAACTTAATTGCTTAAGGGGACAGCACAGGGAAAGGACAGTGAAGGAATGACAAAGCAAAGGTAAGAGCAAACAGCCACACAGATTTTTCACTCAAGGATGAAAGGAGGCAACTGTAGAGGAGGGCTGGAAGGAGAGGGACACTCAACATCCAGAGCTAAGCTAAGGAGGAGCAGCAAAGCAGCATTTTGATTTATATTTAACAACCTGGATGTGCTTTTTGGCACATCCATATACTAAGGTAAGAACTGCAGAGCGAGCTGTGTGCTATGCAGGGCTCCTACCAGCGTTAGGAAAAACTAAAAACCCAAACCTCCCCAAAGATTTCTAGGTATTTTGACCCAGTTCTTCCCAAAGCTGTTCCAAGGACACAGCAAGTCAGGAGGGGGTGAACCTTCTCAGTTTCTCATATAGAAACCACAAGGCTCAGCTGTCTATTTACATAGCTATGGACAACGTACACATCTAATATTTTGTACAGGACAAGGAGCTTTGCACTGGAGGCACAATAGCACATATACACAAGTCACTTCCTAAACTCAGAGGTGTCTGGTATTTAGCAACATTTTGGACTATTATCTGTTTCTATAAAAATGAGTTTAGGGTTTCTTCACATCGGTAAGAAATTCAGTATCAGCAGAGTAAGTTAACTAGTCTTCAGCTAGTCACACCCTCTAGTTATATGAACCTTCATGTCAGACTTTTCATTGGGTTTTTTGTTTGGTTTTTTGGTAGATGTCCTCACTACCAAAGCAAAGGTCTAATCAACATAAAGTACTTACTGCAAACACTTGCATTTTCCCCACTGAAAACAAGGAGGCTTTTTCCTTTGTCTTGCAGACTTCTTTACCGTTGATTTTAAAAATTAACTTCTACAGTACAGAGCAGTAACAGCAGTACTTGAATGCAAAACACTGTGTAAGCCCTCTGCTCAGACAGGTTCAGAATGGGCTTTGCTTACTGAAACCGAGATTAAGTTACTATTTAGCTGTGATTATGGCCCCTTAACTTTCTGAGTCACAAAGGAAGAGATACACAAGCTCCCTCCCTTCACACAAACTATGATAGAGCAGGGCTTGCACCAAAGGTATTTATTTCAAACACTAAGTAAGCTATTATTATGAAGAGAAGTTACTTTCTATTTCAGGTTGCTTAGGAAAGATAGCTTTTACCCACCAAAAAGAACAGACAAGGTCACCGATGTAACCTTTTAAATCACACCAGTGACTGAATGAAGGGCAGCAAAGGCTTATGCCCACGTACATGCCGAGCAGCAGCACTACCTATTATCTGCCCATTTTAATCACAACTCTGACTCGCACAAAGCCACCTCGAGATTTAGGAACTTCTTTGACGAGAACTTCTGACCGAACATTCCTCCTTCCCTCCGGCACCCTAATTACCCGAAAGGAATTTGACTCGAGTTCTGGGTGACTGCGAAGGACCTTGCTTTCTACTGACGCTGCAGGTTACACAGCAAGCAGAACAGCTCCAGCTTTATGTTTCACTTACCTGTACATACGATCAGAGAAGGAAAAGCAGAGGAGGAGTCTCACATACCTTTCACGGAGCCCTGGATAAGGCATGACAGCATTGCACTGGCTGACAGCTACCTCTGCTACTTCATGGAACCCACAGAGCTGTTAATTACTACTTTGCTTAACAAACTGGGAGTGCTGGAAACCCAGGACACTCCCCACACCTCAATGCATGTCGGGAATATTTACCTACCCGCTTTCCTTCCTCCAAGCAGCTGACAGGAGCACTCCCTTAGTCACGGTTACACCTACAGGGAGGCTCCAGTTAACACTTTAATCGCTAACTTCATAATGAGGGGCAACCTGCTG